GGGGGGGGGGGGGGGGACTGTTCAGTCATTTGTAGACATACATCAGTATTTTGAACTGGATTCAAAAGTGAACCGGTAACCAGTGCAGAGAGGCCAAAACTGGTGTAATGTGCTCTCTTTTGCCTGTACTGGTTAAAAATCGAGCTGCTGCATTCTGGACCAGTTGTAATCGTGCAATGGAGGTTTGTCTGATACCAAACAGGAGTGAATAGCAGTAATCAAGCCTAGATGTAATGAATGCATGTATTACTGTCTCCAGGTTATTTTTGGACAATATGGGCTTCAGTTTAGACAGCCGCCTCAATTGGAAAAAAACATGATTTAACAATCATGTTTACGTGACTGTTAAGTTTTAGGGAAGGGTCCTTTATCACTCCCAGATTAGTGACTCTTTGTTTTTCTGACAGGGATAGAGCGGAGTGGTCGATACAGTGGTTTGTGATCATGTCATTGGGAGGGAATAACATGACTTCAGACTTCTTTTCACTGAAACTTAAGAAATTTAAAGCTATCCAGTCCCTGATGTCAGCCAGGCAGTCAAGCAGAGGTTGAATAGAGCATGTGTCATTGTGTCTTAGTGGGAAGTAAATTTGACAGTCATCGGCATAGAAGTGGAAGGGCATGTTGTGTTTCCGGAAAATAGCACCAAGCGGCAGCAGGTATAAAGAGAATAGGAGGGGACCCAGGATGGACCCCTGTGGAACCCCCCATTTAAGCTCTGCCGCTGCAGAACTAAACTCCTTGATGGAGATACAAAAGGATCTGTCAGCAAGGTAAGATCTGAACCAATTGAGGGCTGACCCTGTGATGCCCACCCACTGCTCCAACCTAGCAATGAGAATCTCATGGGCGATGGTGTCAAAGGTGGTAGTAGACCATAGAATGTAGATAGTCAGTAGACTCTATAGTAGACTATAGACAGTAGATAGTAGTAGACTATATATTAGGCAATAGACAGTAGATTGTCAGTAGACTCTATATTAGACAATAGACAGTAGTCAGTAAACTCTATAGTAGACTATAGACAGTAGATAGTCAGTAGA